TCACGCACAGCATTTTGTTTGTGGAGGCCCCTGGCCCCATCCCCCAGCCTTCCGTGTGCAGGGTTTCTGGCCAAATTTGGGCATAACAGTCACTCGCAATTATCGAGAGGCCCCCCCGGAGGTTAGTCCCTATTAGGTATCACCCAAAAGTATGCGGCAGGTAAGTCAGAGAGCTGCTTATAAGTTTAAAGGGACTGCTTCCGGTCAAAGTTCAAAGCGTGCTTGCACGTGCACACGTGGGAGTGTGTGCACGCATGTGTGCGCATGTGCTCTGTAGGTGTGCGTGGTTTTCCTTATTTGAACATGGTTTCCCTCTGAGCATCCATGCAGCCTCACCTGTCCTTGAGGATTGAGATGACCGTGGTGTTGACACCTGGCCCTGTGGCTTCCTCACGTGCGGCTGGCTGCCCACCTGAGCTGAGGCTGCAACCTGCGGCTCAGCTCTCACAGGCACAGGCTAACGAAGCCTTCAGCTCTGCGTCCTCCTAGGGAGCCAGATCTAGCATACCTGTGTAGGCAGCAATGCAGGTATGTGACAGTAGGTTGACCTCGAGGCCGTCTGTCTTGTAAAATGAAAACACTTCCCACCAGCGGCTGCATAATCATATTAACAAGGTCCAACATGGCGGCCGGGGAAAGGGTAAGAATAAGCGGCTTGGATCACAGCTGGTTTATTGGCTCTCCCCTCACGGGGCGTTTTCAAAACCCTTGAGTTTTCAACATGAAGCAGGAAAAACATAGTTATTGTTTTCCTAGCCTTCCACCACCGAAAGTACATGGTCATTGGTGAACTTCGAGACACCTCCATCTGCCAGGACCAGAAGTTTTGCAAACTTCTAAACTTGCACAGATTTCTTTGACATCCTAAGACACTGAGGGACCATGGCCACGGAGAGAAGGGCACGCCGTAAAGCCCGCCAGCAGCCCGCCACACGTAGGCTGCATTTCCTGAGCACCTGTGCGTTGCTTTTCATACATAGGACCACCGCCTCCTCCCTGGCACACCCTCCAATGGTGTTCACTGTCCCTTTTGTTTCCTGAAGCCTGGTACTACCCACACTTTGCCCCCACGGGTGCTGCAACGCAGGCTAAGCCAGACTGGGGTGTGTGAACTTCCATTTCATCCTGACCTTCAAGGGTCTTTTTCCTTCTGCCACTTAGGGGGAAACTATATAGCCATTTTCAAGATGGTACTCTGGTGGGTAGCATTTGGCGTGACTTGTCTCCACCATCACCAAGCCTACCCGGGAACCCAGAACCCGGGTCCCATGATTCATCCGGGGCGGGCTCCTTTGATTAGAAAGCCTGGTGACTCTGCTTGGCTTGAAACGTTTGATGTGAAGGTGGCTCTAATAAGAAAACAGCATTTGAGTCCCAAGGAAACAAGGGTGTTTGAAGGCAGGGGGTAGAGGGTGGTGGGCATTCTGAAAGAAAGACGCCATCTACCAGTGGGAGCTTCAGAGAGAAAGATGAGACACCTTACAGAGGTGCTCCCAGGTAAATACAATGCGTCGTTCTGTCACGAGCACAGCCGCCAACTGGCTGTTGTCATCTCTGTCCACTCTTGTTCCGGTGAGTGTTGGACACTTTTAAAGAATAAATCATCGTGTTTATTCCTCTGTCAAATTTGGACACTGGCAAAGTACAGGCCATATACTTACAAAATCCCACAAAAGCCGTGATTTAGTTCTAATCGTCAGAGTTGGGATTTACGGAGAGTACATAAAACGCTGTGTTTCCAGAACAGAAGCGCCCTGGTGGTGAGTTCCTCGTGCGTTGGTCAGCCGTGCGTCTCTCCCTGTTTCCTATGATAGATAATCATTCGAAACCAATGGAGATTGACGGCGACGTTGAGATTCCACCCAACAAAGCCACCGTCCTGCGGGGCCACGAGTCCGAGGTGTTCATTTGTGCATGGAACCCCGTCAGCGACCTCCTAGCGTCTGGGTAAGGATGTGAGGCTGGGGGTGCTCCAGGTGGGGCCTGGGGGATCCGAGATGCTGGCTCTCGTGCCTCCTGGAACACGCGCTCCCCTCTAACCTGTGTGTGACATCTTCCCACTGTGTGCAGACCAAGGCTCGGGGTGCTCCGTGCTGCTCTGCTCTGGGTACCTCGCACTGTGGAGCGGTCCTCATTGCACGCCTTTTTCTCAGGGGGGTGGGGACGACTGCAGACATTTCAAATCACTCGGCACACGCCTGAAGCTAATCTAATATTGGACGTCAACTCTAATTGAAAAATAAAATTTTTTTAAAAAATTAAAAAAAAAAGGGATTACCCCTGGAAAAATAAAGTAACGTACTGAAATAAAATTACGTGGCACAACAAAGATGGTGAGGAGAAAAACAGAGTGAGCGGGGCGAGGAAGCAGGGAGGCTGCGGGGCCAGAGATGCCTGATCCAAGCCGACCGGAAGTTGGGATGAGCTAAACGCTGGATGCTCGTGTGTTTTCGGTCTCCAGGTCCGGAGATTCCACTGCAAGAATATGGAACCTTAATGAAAACAGCAACGGGAGCTCCACGCAGCTCGTGCTGAGGCACTGCATACGGGAAGGTGGCCATGACGTCCCCAGTAATAAAGACGTGACCTCGCTGGACTGGAACGTAAGTTTCGGCCACCTCCCGGACGCTAGGACGCCTGGAAAACCTGCCCGCTGCCTCGGCGAGGGCTGCCAGGATGGGGCCCGTGCGGCCCTAGTCCCATGGGTCGTGCCATCGTTTCTGAGCACGGACGAGGCTGTGTTGGGCAGACAGCTAGCTGGGCGTTCCGTAGCTGTTGCTTTTCAGCATTTATATATGTCTACAAGATGAGTCCGGTGGTCTTATTGGGGGAGCCTGTTCTGCTGGGGAGATGAGACGCGCCACCAAGAAAGGTGACTTTCCACCTTGATATTTCAGTGGCAAGCGTTACCCTGTGTCCCCGAAAATAAGACGTAGCCGGAAAATAAGCCCTCGCATGATTTCAGGTGCCAAAATATGGCACCTTGGCGTACTGAATATTTTAGGCTGAAGGTGTTTGTGGAAGAGGCACCCTTCTCCCTGAAACGGGTCACAAAACCCTCATGTGAGGGGTTGCATGCCCTCCATATCCTGGAGGAATCACGCTAGGGCTTCTTCGGCTAGGTCTTATTCTTTGTGGGGAAACACGGTACGTGCATTTAAACACGGGACACACATACACAGCTGTTTATAAGTTCTTTGACTGTCTCACGTGTTACCGTGTTTCTGTACATGGTATCATTTCATCACAAACTGTGTTCTCTCTATGTGCAAACATATTTTTAAAAGCTCTCTAAAGTCTCCAGGAGTCTCCTCATCACTTTCCGTAGCGCATGTTTAATTACGTGATCAGGGGTGAACGGTTGCAGCGTGCTTTCCTTGCTCCCTCGTCCGCCTGCTTGGTTGGAATGCCTTCCGTTCTAATTTAAGAGCCGTGGGAGTGGAGGTTGTTACGCGGGCTTGATGAGTCTCTTAACTGGGAACTGATTGTTGACAGAATATTCTAGCCCCGGGATACGGTGAGAGGTTCTCTTTGCTTTGTCACAACTGCCCCTCCTAAGCTGTTTTTGTTGGTCTGTGTTTCTTTCTGGCCTGCAGAGCGATGGGACACTGTTGGCGACGGGTTCCTATGATGGGTTTGCGAGGATATGGACGGAAGATGGTAAGTCCTGCCTCCAGCCTCGTGTTGGGGCCGGGGAAGCAATGCTTTGGTGTGTGATCATGGCGTGAACAGACCGTGACTTTGAACTCAACCTGTTTGTTGTTGGTTTGTCTCTTACACGACAGGTAACCTGGCCAGCACCTTAGGCCAACATAAAGGCCCCATTTTTGCTTTGAAGTGGAACAAAAAAGGGAATTACATTTTGAGCGCTGGGGTAGACAAAGTGAGTATGAGCTTAAAATACATCTTGGCTCTATAGATGTTTGTTTTTGAATCTTTCAAGAACACCGTGGTTTCTTTGAATTCTAAGGCTCTCTGCTTTCCCTTGAGAAATCAGAACTTGTTCAGTTCTGCGTTTTGTGGTTTTGCTCTCCCCATTCATTCATAACACATCATCTGTTGATGGATTATTGTACTGCTCTCCAGACCTTTGTACAAAGCTTCCCCCATTTATTTGCGGTACTTAACTTCAGTCAAAGCCAAAAATATTTGTGCTCTGGCCTTTGGCAAAATACATTTGCTGACCTCCACGCCAGAGTGAGTATAACTCTCTAGGTCAATGAATTGTTCATTCTTTTTTTTTTTTTTTAATATATAGGTGAAAATATTACCTTTTATTTATTTATTTTTAAGATTTTTATTGGGGAAGGGGAACAGCCAAGTTGTTGTTCTTTAATCTTAGTTGTGGAGGGCGCAGCTAGCTCAGCTCCAAGTCTAGTCGCCATCCAGCCACCTGGTGGCAACTCAGGGCAGCTCAGCTCAGCGTGCCGTGTTCAATCTTAGTTGCAGGTGGGCATACCCCACTGTCCCATGCGGGAGTCAAACTGGCAACCTTGTTGTTAGGAGCATGTGCTCTCACCAGCTGAGCCATCCTGCCACCTGTTGGCAGCTCAGCTCTGGCGCAGCTCACTGACCCAGGTGGGAATCGAACCAGCGACCCTGTTGCTCAGAGCTCGCGCTCTTAACCAACTGAGCCACTCGGCCGGCCCCAAATCGTTCATTCTTTGTCTTAAGCCAATGAGCCCTTCATTCAAACGTGGCAGCCTAATAGCTGATATTTAAAAAGCTGACATGCTGAGGTTGACACCGTAAAGGCTCTCATAGAACTGCCACCGAATTTTCTGCTGGACGGCCTAATTCAGCTATTCTAGTGCTGTGGCTTGTGTGTGGCAGGGTAGCAATACTACTGATTGGATTATTGAAATAACTTGCACCAATGATCACGCATCTTTAAAGAGTGCTCTACTTGTGTTGGCCCATTCAATGCTCCAAGGTAGGGGGCAGGCCCAGGTGAGACAGATGGCACTTCACAGAGAGCCTTACTAACTTGCCTGGGGACACACCTGTGTAGACGGGAGGTGGGTTAGAAATCAATAATGACTGCCCTTTCAAAATTCTAAAACATCCTTTCCTTGCCCACCTGCTTTTGTGAAATTAATGATTTCTTTTGTCCAGTGTATATTTCACGTAAACATCAACAGCGTGCTATGACTGGTGATGTAGTCTGTGACACTGCATCAGAATTGTGAACGACTTTATATACCGGGGGTGCCAAAAAAACGTATACACGTTTTAAGCGATGTTAACACTTTGGTCAGCGTTGCTCAAGCAGTAGTTCCTGTTGTCAAAAGTGTCTGGATGCTGATGGGAACCACTTTGAGCCCCTCTTATAATTGCAGAAGTCAAACATGACTTGTATTCATCTTTTGTTCTCATATATTAATAAGGTGTGTATTAATACAGCTTTTTCCTTTCTGAAAAATGTGTATACATTTTGTTGGCTCCCTCTGTGTTCTCTGCAGTGCCAGATTTGTTTGTGAGTGGCTAAATTAAGGAAAGAGTTAGACTCCTCCTCCAAAGAAACCAACAGAAGCTGTTAATTGGGCTAGAGTTGACCCAAAACATGCAGAGAACCCCGTTTCCAAGGTACTCAGTTGCTCCGAGTATTCCCTCTGAAAATTTCTGCAGTTCACACAACTTATAACCACTTCTTCCTTAGACGAGATCTTTATTGTCATTAACGGAGGTGGTACGGGTTCCAGCTCAGTTGAAAACCCCAGCTGATGAAGACCTAATCCCAGGGGTATTCACCAAGCTTCTTCTTGCTTCTTCCTTAAGAGTCTTCCCAGCATCCAAAGGTTCATAAGAACTCACGATTTACTTCGTTTTCTGGGGCACACATCACTTTTCCCCTTATTTAAAAATAGGGGAATATAGACCAGTGCATCGCTGATGTAACTCCATACCTCTGCTCCGTCTGGTATCCGGGCTCATGGAGTGACAGCCCAGGGCATTTTCTGAAACGCCTGTGGCCGCAGCTCTTCATTTGGAAAACTTCCAGAAAGATGTTTAGATGAGCTTCGTGACGGGTTTTTCAACCTGTAACGGGTTAGGGGGAATCCCCACCAATTCTGGCAGGTTCCAGGTACCACCTTCGGCTGCCGTGCCCACCAGCATGCGTGGCTGCTGAGTTCAAGAAATGTGACCATCCAATTCAGACGCGTAAAGCATACTGGGTTCAAAAGACCCAGATGGAAAAGAGAACGCCAAGGGTCTCGTTAGTAGTTATAGATTGATTCCATGTGGAAATGGTCATATCTTGGCCATTTGGAAGGGAGTAAAATGTATCGTTAAAACTAGTTTTATCTGGGGCCCGGCCGAGTGGCTCAGTTGGTTAAGTGCTCGCTCAAGGGTTTGAGCTCTGAGCAACAGCGATTCGAGTCCAGCCCGAGCTGAGCTGCCAACAGGTGGCAGGATGGGTCAGCTAAAAAAAAACAACACTAGTTTTACCTGGTTTTTTTTTTTGTTTTGGCATGCTCACTAGAAGGCTGAAAATCCCCCGTGTGGCTCCCACCCTGTCTCTGTTGGGCGGAGCTGGCTTACACGGGGCAGGGGCTCACTGCCTCTTCTTGTACCATCAAGTTTTGTGGAGACGACTTGACAAGAAGGATGGTGACACTAACTTTTTTTGTTTGCCTGTCACAGACAACGATAATTTGGGATGCCCACACAGGCGAAGCCAAACAGCAGTTTCCGTTTCATTCCGGTGAGTTGCTTTGTTCTTGTGTTGTCACTCAAAAATAAGAATTCGGAGTCCTAGAAAACGTCCCGTAAAGGAACGGTGCGTGCGGAGGAAGGCGTCCATGGAATGTGGCTGGTGGGAGACGAAGCCTATTTCACGGTCCGCGTTGCTCTTCAGGTTTGCAAGACACAGGTGCCCCAATATGAAAAGTTGAAAAACGCAACAGTGAACCAACCATGGAAGCAGTGTGGCCTCCTTTCACCACCATCCCGATGGTGCTGTGTTGGGGGGTGTCATGGGGGGGTCCCTGAGACCACGCCCAAAGTCAGCAGTTCGCTGGGAAAACTCCCAGGACTCCGTGTGTCGTCTAATTCATGGATAAGGCTTGTTACAGGCAAAAGGACACACAACAAAATCAGCCCGGGGATAAGGCATGTGGGGCAAAATCTAGTATTTGCAAGGGTCCTGCCCCAGTGGCATCACACAGGCCAGGCTGGACGGCTGCAGAAACAAGTTGTGACCGCTCACGTACCCGAGTTGCAGGCTCCCAGAAGGGAAGCGGGGATTTGGCATAAACCACGTTGCTTGCACAGTTTAGGCACAGAAGCCATTCTTATCGACCGATAAGGGAATGCCTAGAACCTTCTGGATGTCCAGATGTCCAGCCTTGCCGGCAGGCCTTCCTCCAGAGAGGGTGAGCCATGCGATGGGAGGTCTTGCCTGCCGGACAGGTAGCTGCTGCTGTGGAGCTAACCACGTCCTTTTATGGGTTGGGGACCACACCAGGCTGGCCACATGGGGCAGCCCAGGGTCGCGAGATTCCACTTTCTCAGATTGCCACTGGACACTTCACCCTCTGGCTTAATGCAGCCTTCTAACTTCAAGACAGATGACCACCCCCAGATTTATAGGCTGTTGGGAAAAAGTGGCTGAAAGTTGACACAAGGGACTCCATGCCCCTTCGTTTCACAGGAAATGACTTCCACATAGAGGGAGCTGCGAAACATAGGGGGTGAACGGTTACTATGCCACATGTTCCTTAAGCAGTGTTTACAGGGGGGTCAGGTAGTCGGGGGTACCCGCTGACGACTGAATGGGACGGCTGACCCCAAGCTCCGCCTGAGATGGCACTGTCCCTCTTGGTGCCCAGCGAGGGCTGCCAGCAGCAGCCGTGGGACCTACAGGGAGCAGACTGTGAGGAAAGGTCCCCACGAGGCCGTGCCACGACGGTGTCAGGTGCAGACACCAGCGTTTATTTTCCCGTGTGATACGCCAGATGTATCTGTTAGGGCTGCCAGTGAGTTGTGTTGGTGTGGCCCTCATCTGACAGCACAGGTGACGTGGACATACATGGCTGGACGCAGTACAGAACACGTTTCCCAGCAGGAAGTGGGCACGGCTGCAAATGTGGACATCTTGGGACCCCAACCTATGTGTGTGTGTTAGAATATATAGATAACTTGCTGTTTGTCATTAGTAAATTCTAGTCACACATTCACAGGGTGTGCAGCCATCATACTCCTTCCAGGACATTCTGTCACCCCACGTGGAGACCCCCTTACCCATTAAGAAGTCGCTCTCCGTTGCCCCTTAGCCCAGTTCCTGGTCACCCAGTCTACAAATGTTGACGGGAGTCTGTCATCTGCGTGCCCGACGCCTACGCTCTGGACTGTGCACATCCAGGCTGGTAGCGAGTGAGTCCAGTGGGTTGCTGTCGCATTTGGCGTACGTGCCAAAACCATCCCTACCTTTGTTGTCAGGAAGGTTCCAGAGCCCGATTATAAGGGGCGTGCCAACCCCTGAGGTGTTCTGTAGAGAGAGAGCATCTCACCTGTCATTTTGCTGCCCGCGAGGCAGACCCAGGCGCCATTGCTGGGTCGGGAAGTTTCAGATGTTACTGGGTGTGTGTGTGTGTGTGTCTGTCGGTCTGTCTCAGGCAGTGTGCTAGAGACTGTTCAAGATGGAGCAGAGGAAGTGTGCTCTTTTTCAAGGTGAAACACCCATGGCAAGGGCTGTAAAGGAGCACCTTTCTGTAGCATTTGAAAACTCCTTGTCTGCTGGGATGGCCAGTTGCCTTGCCCTGTTGGGTTTCCCCACCAAGCCCTCAGTCACCGTTGGCAGGAAGCGTTAGCTCAGAGCCCGACTGTGGAATCCCACTCAGCAGCGGAAAGGAACAAAGTACTACTGAGTAGCTATTGATAACCTACGGCACGTTGGACAGATCTCAAGGGCATTCGCTGAGGGGGAAAGCACGAACCTCCAAAGTCCACATGCTGAATGGTTCCATTTCTGTAACGTTCTAGAAATGGCAGAAGGACAGAGATGAACAGCTCCATTGAGCCAGAGTTGAGGGTTGGGGCAGAGCGGGGGTGGTGTGATAATGAAATGGTACGAGGGAGGTGTTTGGGGTGATGGATGGAATGGGTCTGGGTGTTGACTACGGTGGTGGTTGACAGACGGGCCCCATGATCCAGTGACACAGCACCCCACAGCCACAGCCGTTGGGGGAGCCTGGGTGAAGGTGCACGGGACCTCTCTGTAGTCTTGGCAGGTTCCTGTCAATCTGTAAGCATTTCAGAACTCAAAGTTAAAAAAAAAAAAAAGCCTGTCCATGCCTGGAATGGTACTGACTGTTGCAATTTATTGGCCCGCGTGTGGGCAGGGAGGGCACAGAGACCCCTGGAATAACTTAGTCCTGGTACCTGTCGCTCACCCACACTGAATGGTCAAAACGTGGCAGGAAGCTGCAAGGGTTCTGGTGGCAGGGCCCACTCAGAGTGGCCCCCCTCCCCATCACCCCTGCTCTGGGTGGCAAGGTCAGCACACATGAATTTTTACGGCCAGGTGCTGCACCAGCTGCCAGATTGTCACGTTTCCAAGTGTAGTAACAGCTCGCCTGGAATGCAGGGGCTGGCGCAGGAATTCGCGATTTGGCCCTTACGGTGTTGTAAACAAGAGCAGCTGCGGGCTCTGCCCTCTGGCTCACGGGATCGTCACCCGGACCGAGCAGGGTGGGTCCTTCCTTCACTTCGCCGGGCCTGTGTGGGAAGGGTGCCAGGCACAGTGGGGCTGTCGTGAAACACGCTGCTGGGGTATATAACCCCCCCAAAAAAAGACGCCCTGTGCTGCTGAAAAACCCAGGGCTGACTATCAGCCAAGTCCTTACCCACGGCGTCCACGCGGGCATGGAGCGGGACGTGGAAGCTAGCGGGTTCCATCCTGCAGTTACCCACCTGGGGAAGGGCCACCCATGTGCAGGGCTGAAGAGGGGATGGGGCAGACGCATTCCAGTGTATCCTCCTTACAAGCCAGGTTTCCTCCCAGTTCAGTGCTGACTTGTCTTAAACACACGTGAGACACGCTTATGTATTGATCAGTTGATGAAAATGTGTGACCAGAGGTTTGTAGGAACGTAACCTGCTATTTCTTCTAGAAGCAAAGAAGTGTCATGAGATGACCAGGATGCTGAGGAGTCTAATGGGGAGGTCCGGAAAAAGGGGAGAGCCCCGTGAGATGAGGGGGGGGCGCACATCACCATCCCCAAAACCCTCAGGGACTCAAGGACTCAGCGAGGGTGTTCATGACAAGTCCTGAGCCCTCAGCCCAGTTGTGTCCGCCAAGGGGTTCTTGTCAACTCAAATTATCTTCCAACTGGGGGAGATTTTTTTAAAGCGGGAAATCTGGAACATAGCATAGGGAATCTTTTTCCTCTCCTTTTCTCTCTTCCCTGTCTAAAACAAATCACATCAGACCATCAGCGAGAGTCATGGAAGCGGGAAGGTGTAGGACCAGGCAGCATGTCCCTGTCACCTCCCCTTTCTTACCGGTGCCCGTGGCGGCAATACACAGCATGCCCAGAGCACAGGAAGTGTCCCGGGCTCTCTCGCCAGAATATCTGCTCATCCCTCCAAATATGGAAGAAGACGGCTTTTGGGTCTCTGAGGGAAAGAGGCTGTGAACCATTGTTGTTTTTTTTATCACGTTACTGCCTCCTGGACTGTTCCTTTAACTGTTCGGAGTCAGCCGAGTTCTGCATGACTAGTAAACGCGGTGTCCTCTGACTGTCCCCCGCTCCACAGCCCCTGCTCTCGACGTGGACTGGCAGAATAATACTACGTTCGCCTCCTGTAGCACAGACATGTGTATTCACGTCTGCAGACTCGGCTGTGACCGCCCAGTCAAAACCTTCCAAGGACACACAGTAAGTGCAACTTCTGACTGGGGGACTCAAGTTCCTGAGGGCGTGCTGGGAGGTGGGAGCCATATCCTTTATGCCTCGGATCAAAAGATGCTGACCTGTTCTGCAGCCCTTTGCTGCTTGGGCTGCTGTCATATCTGAGGTGGTTGGATGAACCCACTTATAGGCAGG